TTTTTTTTTTTTTTGCAAGAAGTAAAAGATTCAATTTGATTCTTCTAGAGGGGGGAAGAGTAGTTGAAAGTAGGTCTTCATTTTGCAGTCATCATCTGTACGAATTCTTCATAGATAACTTGTCCGTCTCCATCAATATCTGCTTCTCGGATCATTTCATCTACTTCTTCATCTCTTAGCTTTTCTCCTAAGTTTGTCATGACATGACGGAGCTCCGCTGCACTGTTGTACGCATTTCCGTCCTTGTCAAAGACTCGGAATGCCTCACAGATTTCGTCTTCGCTATCTGCATCTTTCATTTTTCTAGCCATCAAAGTTAAAAATTCTGGGAAGTCAGTGGTGCCATTACCCTCGGCATCCACTTCGTTGATCATATCCTGCAGCTCAGCTTCTGTTGGGTTTTGACCCAGTGACTTCAGGACAGTTCCTAATTCCTTTGTTGTGATGGGGCCATCACCATCTTTATCAAATAGGGAGAAAGCTTCCTTGAATTCAGCAATCTGCTCTTCAGTCAGCTGATCAGCCATGGTGCGAGCGAAGGGAGGACGCACCAGCGCAAGGGCTGTGACGGCAGGGCTGCCTCGGCTTCAGCCGCTGCTAAGGCGCGATGCGCGCTCGGTGCTGTGCCGCCCGCGCCGCCACCCGACTGCGAGTAACGGCACCGCACCCACGAGACTCCCGGCACCTCTGTCTTAGCTTTTGTTGTTCTAAAAGATGGAAACAACCACTTGAGTACAAAAAAAAAGTGATCAATATTATATTTAGAAGGAAGTTAGTATGCTACTGAGACTCACTGTCCTCCAGGATGAGACGGCAGCCCCGAACTGCCAATTCTGGGAAAAGAGCAAGAAAGTGGCCCGCGGTGCGTGCGCAGCTCCACCAGAGGCCCCAGCTCCCAGTCGCACCTCGTCCCTCCCTGCAGGGGCCACTGCGTCTCCTGCCCCTCAGTGTCACCTGGCTGGGGCTGATTTCCAAGGCAGTTTGGTTGTGTTCTGTTTTTACTCAGTGGATTTCCCAGCACAGGCTCTTTCCTTCACAACAGGCATTGCCAGCAGGCAAGACGAATCATTTGGAAGATGCTGCATAAAACCCAGTTCCCAGAGGACAGAGCCGTCCCTCTGGTGGCGTCTCTGACCCCTCTATAGCTAACCCTACAAAAAGGGCAGCAATTCTGTCTCTATGAAATTGATTTTCAAATATTCACTTTGAAGAATTCCTTGCTCTTTATTCCAGGCCAAAGCAAAAGCAAAAACCTACCTGAATTCTGGTCTAAAATATCCATAATAGCATACATTATTAAACATTAAAATTATCCCACATTATAATGAAATCACTCACTTCCTTCTGAATTTGTAAGGGAAAACAAACAGATTCTCAATGGAAAACTCTTTACAAGATCATTTAATCAGGAATGATTTTAGAGATATCATCTGAAGCTAAATTACTCTAAAACTCTCATATTGAAATAAACTCTGAGAAAATAAACCCAGGGTAAGAATGTAAGACATCCTTATTTTAACTGTCATATTGATCATGAGCAAATTGTACAGTTCTCAGGTGTTATGGTCTGTGCCTAGCTGTCCCCCCAAAGCCTCATGCAGTCACGGGGCAGTTTCTAGAGATTGTGATTAATTCATGATCCAATACTGGGATTATGGCTGTGAGTGCTACACCCGCTCTGAGGTGGATAGCCTGAGCACAATATAAGGAAGCAAGAGGCTAGCCAGCTGCCTTAGCTGCTGCTCCTCCCTTTGCTGTTGGCTGTTTTCTGCCACCATGAACTGCTGCCCTCTGCCATGAGCTCCTTTGCCTTGGAGCCAGCTAAGTATGCACTGAAACCTCCACTAGCTATGAACTAATTAAACCTTTCCTTCCTTAATTTCGGGTGTCAGGTATTTTATCCCAACAACAAGAGAAAATTTACTAAGACACCAAGGAAAGTAACTCATGTCTTCTGATTCCTGCCTCAGGACTCTGTGTAGAAAAGCAAAGGAAAAGAGGCTTAGAAGGAAATGACACACTCAGCCATACCTTTCTCACCAGCAGCGTGGCCACCTGAGACACAACTGCATGGCCAAGGAGCAGCCACACCAGCCTCTTCTTCCCCCATTCCATCCAGAAGCTCCACTCAAAGTCTGTTGGGTCCTGCACAAGCCAAGCAGAAGTCAGTATTATCCGGGAGACCTTACACGTGCCTGAGTCAACACACAAGCTCCAGTGAAAACCGCAAGTGGCAAAGCCAGGGTGAGTCCTAATCTTGTCAGACAGCATTTGCCCATTTCTAGCCCTTCCACCCCAACATCCAACCCACCCCAAACTCTCCAACCTGGCCGGTCTCAGCACTTTCCCCCACCTGCATCTCACACTTTCTACATAATTCAGCCTTTCTGCTAAAAGTAATGACCTGCAGTATAAACTATCATTATCTCCAGGTGAAACAGACGTAAGGACTCCAGTGCATTTACCCCAAGGCCACAGAGCCAGTACAAGTTATGAACTGGGAGGCGATCCCAGCCTGGGACACCAAAATGCTTTCCTTGACAGGAGAAAGGAAAATCAGGCACTAAAAGTATTACTCAAGGTCAATTGTGTTGTCTTTTTATTGTTATTTACTCATTTATTATTTTTTTCTTTTTTTGAGAAAAAAAAAGCTCATTCTGGCCTGGAACTCACTATGTAGTCCTGGCTGGTCTCAAACTCATGGCAATCCTCCTGCCTCAACCTCCGAAGAGCGGGGATTGCAGGCGTGTGTCACCACACCCGACTCAGTCATGTTCAAGCTTGCTGTTGTTTATGGGTAGGAGAATAACTGGCCATGGAAGTTAACTTCACACAAACTTGCAACAAAAGAATGGGTACACTTCCCTTCCCCTGGGAAGCTGTATACTCTGTGCCTCTTCTGTACCACAGTTCCTGCGTCTGAGGCACCCTGCAAGGGCAGGTGACAATTTCAGGCAAAAGTACATGCTAGGGCACCTGGAGAACAGCACCCAAAGGTGGCCCAGGAAGATCACAGCAGCCAGTATGAACACGGAGAGAATGTGCCACTCAGAGGGGGCAGGGAAGACTTGGCCAACCAGCATCTTCGTGACCATGACAGAGCTGGGACTTTCAAGCCAAACTGTATAGATGAGGAAAAAATCCTCCTCCAGTGACAGCTAGAGACAGTGAACACAGCTCCATTCCCTAGAACAGGATCTCCAAAACCTACTTCATTGGAGTCCGTGGAAAATGTGATTTTATATTTTACACTGGTCTGGGTTCGACCCCGTATCTACCCGCACAGCATGATGACGACCCTGACTATGACACATAACCTGTCTGTCCTGTTCATATGACAAGAGCACTTATTGGAACTTTTGAGCTAATAAATATATACACCAAAAGTGTAGAATAGTGCTCAGCACACAGTACCCACCCAGAAATGCTACCTGCCGCTAACAGTAGTCCCATGTGCTTTCCACGCGTTATTAACCCCAGCCGAGACTAAACATCCTTTCATGCTCACCATTTGCTAAAAAAAAAAAAAAAAAAAAAAAAACAGGTTAAGGATGCAGCTCAGTGGTAAAGCTCTGACTTTAGGCTCTGAGTTTAAGTCCCAGAATCATAAAAAATAAAATAAAAACAAGACTTTTCCCTGTTTGTCAAATAAAGAAATACAATAACATGTATTCCTAAATAACACAAGCTCCCACTACACATCAAAATTCCTCCTAGAGCCCTTGCCCCCTGCTGCAGACCCCAGGTCTGGCCAAATTCTTTCCATGTAGAAGGGTGCAGACATGCCACCCACACACAGGCAGGCAGCAGTGCAGAGGACGTGAACGTTAACCTTACTCTTAGTCCCTGATCAGAGCTATTTTCATCCATCTCAATTCAAAATTAGTAGAGGGTCAATTAATTGGATAAGGTGATGTGACGTTCGTGGGGTAAAACTATGCCAGGAAAGCTCACTCTTGCAACAGGAATATAAATAAAAAGACACTGAAAGCCACAGCTGATTTTTTTAATAACCTGTTCCAAAAAAAGACCCCAGTAGGTTTAGAAGGCGAGAATTCTACCACTGAGCCACCAATGCACGAGATCCCAAAGGGTTTGGGATGCAGCTCAGCACACAGTGCTTACCTACAGCAGCACACGCAAGACCTGGGTTCCATCTCAAGCACTGAAAAAATTTAAAATACCCCAAATATTTTATCTTCATAAATATATATATATATATTTTTTTAAATTTTATTTATTTATTTATTTGTGTGTGTGTGTGGCCAGCTCAGCCCACCAGGGGGCAGGGCTGGCTGGCATGTGGTGCTGGGGGATTGAACTGCGGTCCCTGTGCTTTGCCAAGCTTGTTCTAAGTAGGTGCTTTATACCACTGAGCCATCTCACCAGCCCCCATAAATATATATTTGAACACTAAGAAATACATTTAGAATTCATGACCCTAATCCTACTCATGTCTTAAAACTTTTCCAAGTTTAATTGTTCACAGGCAAAAATAACCCAACACCACTTAAGAACCCAAACTCCTCCTATTCCACTAAAAAGCCCAGGACTATTTAGAATGCATTTCTGGTAAATTCTATCAACAACAGTTGCACAGTCTTTTACCACTATTGCTTTAAAAGAAATAAAAATATATATCTCATGTCCACCATCTCCACTCATGATAATTACCTTTAAAAATGACTAGACAGAAAAGCTGAGCCAAGAATAGAACAAGATGGCCAGTAACTAGCAGTTAATAATCTGAGTAAGAAATTCAGTCACTGCTTCCATAGCAAAAGTTTAATTACGCTTCTTAAGTCAGAAAAAGCCTCAAGCCAAGAACAATTTCTTCATGCTCCATTCCTTCCCCTATTTCCCTTCGAGACCCACAGTTCTCAGTGAGCAACCTCTTCCTCAGGACTGTAAGGGGACAGATGGTCAGACCCCAACTGTGGGCAAAGCCTTGCCCAGCAGAAGCCTCCATGGGAGAAGCACAGGCTGCACTCCAAATAAGTCACCACACGCAGCCTCCAGTATCAGCGCTTCCTTTACTTTCAGATCCACACTGGTCACTTATACATCTCCTAAAAATGCAGATTTTGATCTCAGGAACCTGGGTGGGGCCTGGGATTCTATATTTCTTCTTCTTTTTTTTTTTTTTTTTTTTTTGTGGAACCAGGATTTGAACTCAGACCCTTGCACTTGCCAGGGAGGTACTTATTCTACTGAGCTATCTCCTCAGCCCCAGATTCTGTATTTCTAACACAAGTGCTCTGCAGCTGCTGGTCTGGGGACCATATGTTGTAAAGCAAAGATGGATCAACCCTGACCAATTGCACTGCCCTCCAGCTGACAGTTCATAAGCCCAACCACTGAGCCCACCCAGACATGCCATTCCTGAGTAGGGATGAGCCCTCTGCAGCTGACGATCTGACCTTCATCCCCAGAGTTGCCCTATTCCTGGCCACCACACCTGGGATGCTCTGAGCACTTGACTTAAGTCACTGGATGGAACCAATTAACAGTAGTAGGCTTTTACTCTGCAGCCAGGCTCTGCCGAGACCTCTGAATCCCACAGCAGGCCTGGGGCTCACACAGTAACTCAGATTCCTAGAGAAACACTATTCTCCACCACAGCAAAAGGGAGGGTCTGGGCCAGGGGGATAGCTGTCCTCTTCCCTCTACACAGCAACAGCCTGCACAGGCAATGTGGGACACCACACAGGAATTCCTCACCCTTGCACAACCTGAAGTCTCCATAGCAAGGATACTCTGAGAGCTAAGAGCAGAGCAAGAGAAGACACAGTGACATGATCCGGCTGTATTTCTTGATAGGCATGACTGACAGAGACCTGTTATTTCTTCTTATACAATCAGTAATCAACATTATATCCTCATAACCATCTTCAAGGTAGTTTTTATTGCTCTTGTTTAATTAATGAACTTTGTCTTTCAGAGCAGTTTTAGGTTCATAGTACAACTGGGCACAGAATACAAAGCTCCCACCCACCTCCTGTTCCTACGCAGGCACTGCCTTCACACCGCCAGTCCCACCAGACTGGCACCGCTATGATAATAAGGTATCCACATGGTCGTATCCTTGTCACCCAACATTCACGCTCCACACTAAGGTCCACTCTTGGTGCTGTCCAGTCTACAGGTGGACAACATATGACAACAGGCATCTATTATGGCACTGTCACACAGCAGGGTTTTACTACCCTAAAATTCCTTTGTGGAGGCTCCGGCCCGGCCGGGCTCGAGGCGAGGGGCCGTATGGAGCTGGCGGCGCGGGGCTGGGGGCTGTGGGCGCTGCTGCTCTGCACCGGCGCCAGCGGGGCCGCCGTGCCCTCAGAGACTCAGCCACCTGTGACAAATTTGAGTGTCTCTGTTGAAAACCTCTGCACAGTAATATGGACATGGAATCCTCCTGAGGGAGCCAGCCCAAATTGTAGCCTAAGGTATTTTAGTCATTTTGATGACCAACAGGAAAAGG